TCTATGTTGAAACTGACTTGAAGGCAGTCAACAACATACTCTGAATGCTTAGTTAAATGCCAGTCATATAATTTTAATAATAACAACAAAAACAACATTTATTACCTGCCTTACCAAATGGCTCAAGGCAAGCGAGACACAATATAGTTAAAACACATAATCATAAAACATTGTGTCAAATACAGATATTAAAATGTATTTCTATGAAATAGAGATATTAAAATACACAAAATAAAGGTGAAAACACAGTAAACAAAGAATGTGAATTTAACATTCATAGTTAAAATTGACTGGGTAGGCCTGCCAGAAGAGACAGGTCTTCAGTTGTGTTTTACACTCCAAAGCTCATTTAGCTGTTGCATCTCTTCCAACGGGTCAGGGTCAATCCACAGTCATATTCCAGCTGACAAATCTGTACTGTTACAGTTCAAAACCATCTTCCTGGCAAGCCCCAAGAACAGTGCGCTGTAGTAACACAGCCCAACAAAAAATATCTTGGTGTCTTGGTTTACTGGTCTGTTGCTGTGGTTATTTGGGGCACTGATTCAGAAAAAATGCATTGAATAGATTGCATCAGCTCTAGCTTCTTAGATATGGTAATTATGAGTTTCTATGGGTGAGCCGATGGTGACTGGCATTTATTATTTATTTATTTACTTCACTTGTATACCACTTTTCTCACCTTGGGGGGGGGGGCACAAAGCAGTTTCCAACATATTTATGGCAATTTATGCCTCACATACATTTGAAACATAACATTAAACAACAATAACATATAACTATCAATTAGAGCATAAAAATGTAACAACATTTGGACATTTAAACATGGAGTTAAAAACATCTATATATATAAATTTGTTAGGGGCATCCAACGAGGAAACAAAACTCAAAAACCCCCCAACGAAACTTAACCAAAATTCCCATGCCCATAACACAACCCACAAGGTACAAACATATCTACTCAAAATGAAAAACAACACAACAACACACTCACAAAACGGCAAAAGAATAAAACTAAAAAAAACCCAACGAAACTTAACCAAAATTCCCATGCTCATAACACAACCCACAAGGTACAAACATATCTACTCAAAATGAAAAACAACACAACAACACACTCAAAACGGCAAAAAAACAAAACTCAAAAACCCCCCAACGAAACTTAACCAAAATTCCCATGCCCATAACACAACCCACAAGGTACAAACATATCTACTCAAAATGAAAAACAACACAACAACACACTCACAAAACGGCAAAACAACAAAACTCAAAAATCCCCCAACGAAACTTAACCAAAATTCCCATGCCCATAACACAACCCACAAGGTACAAACATATCTACTCAAAATGAAAAACAACACAACAACACACTCACAAAACGGCAAAAGAATAAAACTCAAAAAAACCCCAACGAAACTTAACCAAAATTCCCATGCTCATAACACAACCCACAAGGTACAAACATATCTACTCAAAATGAAAAACAACACAACAACACACTCAAACGGCAAAAAAACAAAACTCAAAAACCCCAACGAAACTTAACCAAAATTCCCATGCCCATAACACAACCCACAAGGTACAAACATATCTACTCAAAATGAAAAACAACACAACAACACACTCACAAAACGGCAAAACAACAAAACTCAAAAATCCCCCAACGAAACTTAACCAAAATTCCCATGCCCATAACACAACCCACAAGGTACCAACATATCTACTCAAAATGAAAAACAACACAACAACACACTCACAAAACGGCAAAATAAAACTCAAAAAAACCCCAACGAAACTTAACCAAAATTCCCATGCCCATAACACAACCCACAAGGTACAAACATATCTACTCAAAATGAAAAACAACACAACAACACACTCACAAAACGGCAAAACAACAAAACTCAAAAAAACCCCAACGAAACTTAACCAAAATTCCCATGCCCATAACACAACCCACAAGGTACAAACGTATCTACTCAAAATGAAAAACAACACAACAACACACTCACAAAACGGCAAAACAACTGAGCATGCGCATTGGCGCCCAGCCGCAAGTTCCCTGGCGCGCGCACATGCCCTTCCGGCCAACGTTCCCTCTGCGGAAACCATGCCCACCCCAAGCCCCGCCGCGCCGCTTCCCGCACACACACACACCCCTGCCGCACACACACACACAACCCCACACTCCATCACTCCCCCCGCCGCCGCACACACACACACAACCCCACTCCCCCCGCCGCCGCACACACACACGCAACCCCACACTCCACCCCCGCCGCACGCACACACGCAACCCCACTCCCCCCCCGCCGCCGCACCACACACACGCAACCCCACGCTCCATCACTCCCCCCGCCGCCGCACACACACGCAACCCCACTCCCCCCGCCGCCGCACACACACACACAACCCCACGCTCCATCACTCCCCCCCGCCGCCACACACACACACGCAACCCCACGCTCCATCACTCCCGCCGCCGCTGCACACACACACGCAACCCCACACTACACACACACCCCCACACTCCATCACTCCCCCCGCCGCCGCACACACACACGCAACCCCACACTCCATCACTCCCCCGCTGCCGCACGCACACACGCAACCCCACTCCCCCCACCGCCGCACACACACACGCAACCCCACGCTCCATCACTCCCCCCGCCGCCGCACACACACGCAACCCCACGCTCCATCACTCCCCCCTGCCCCAATCTTACCTCCTTTTACTTCACGCCACCTCCAAACCCCACCCCGCCCCTTCCCGCCCTGTCAAAATCCAGGAAAGACAGGAAGGAAGGAAAGAAGGAAGAAAGAGAAAGGGAGGTAAAGAAAAAGGGGGAAGGAAGGAAAGTTAGAGAAAGAAGGAAGAAGAAAAGGAAAGAAAAGGAAAGATGGAAGGAAAGAAAAGAGAGACAGCAGAAGAGAAAGAAAAAGGGGGAAGGAAGGAAAGAGATAGAGAAAGAAGAGGAGAAGGAAAGATGGGAGGGAAGGAAGGAGGGAAAGAAGGAGAGAAAGAGGGAAGATTGGCCACAGCAACACGTGGCGGGTAAAGGTTGTTATTTCTATTATTATTATTATTATGCTATTGTTCCTATGAGACCCTTTTAGGGGGAATGGGAGAGGTGTCAGGTCCCAGAGGCAATGCATTGCATTATTGTTATTGTTATGATGGTGGTGAAATAAAAGGTAATAAAAAGTGAAAGAAGGAAGCAAACAGGGAGGGAAGAAAGGCAAAGGAAGAAAGGGGGAGGGAATGAAGGAAAGAGAGAAGGATGAAACCAAGTAGTGAAAGAAGGAAAGAAAGAAAGAGGTAGAGAAGGAAGAAAGGAGAGAAAGGGGGAGGAAAAGGGGGAAGGAATAGGTAGGTACCTCTCTTTCATAATAGTCCAGATATCTACCTCAACTTTGATAAGTTTTACTATAGGCCACAGCAACGCGTGGCAGGGCACAGCTAGTATATATATAAAATCACTTAATCCAAAATCATATGGCGGATGATATATGTTCTGTATCTCAAAAACTAGAGCTGATAGAGGGAAACTGGTGACATTTTTAGCACCAGCAGTTCAGATATATCCAGAAACAGGGTTAACCTCTATGGCACCAAAATGTGTGTTGACCAGTATAATCTAACATGGATGTAACTAAAGTAAATGCTTGCAGCTAGTCAGCTTTTTCTAAATAAATGCCCTTGTCAATCAACAACATATGCATGGCATTGATTCCTATTACTGTTGTTACCACAATAGTGTTACTTTTTGGGTTGCTCTGAGTTTTCCATACTTTTTTATTATAATGAAGGGTGATAAAATGTAAACAAATACCAGTGAAGTGGAGGAAATGAAGGTTGGTGTTTGTGTTCAGAATGAAGCCTAAGGAGCACTAGACTGCATATACTATTAATACATGTAACACAAAGCAAGGAGGGGGTAAATAAATGGTGTTTCAGATGTTGCTGGACTATAATTCCTATTTATTCTTTCTTATTGGCTGGGCTAGCTAGGGTAAGAAAAACTGCCACCCAGTAGCACACTCCTTACAGCGGCCTTACGCCCTAATCCTAAAGATACTTACTCAGAAGTAATTCCTTCATGAGTTTAAGGAGATTTATTCCCAAGTGTGCCTAAAACCTTAGCAAGTGTGGAGCAGTGCCCTTATGTTACACCTGCTAATCTATTAATATTTTCCAGAGAGGGGATAAATGGTCACCTTTGCCAGATTTATGGTACTTCTTGGGTTTCAAAGTTTACTCTCGTTACCGGAAACAAATTCAGTTCTGCAAGGTTATGGATCTGGCTGGCAATGGTTCTCACATTTTGCGTCATGAACAGCTAGGGCAGTGCCAGCAATAGCATGGCAATATGTCAGGAGCAAAGGCTGAGGTCAAATGGCAAAGATTAGTGCGGGCTTGTTTTGGAAAGCGTTCAAGTCATGTTTTGTGGAATCATGTTCAAGGAATACCTGAATGGTTCAAGACAAACTTCCCCATTAAGCCTTGTCAAGGAGCAAGGCCTGCTGGCATCTCCGCACCGGGATGCCAGGGGAGAGCAAAGGAAGTTCCCAAAGAAGGCGGCGGCGGCGGCGGAGGAGAGGGTTCTCCTAATGCACCGGCTGCTTAATAATCTCCCTGTGAACCATCAAAAACATAATAATAATAATAATAATCAAAAAAGCAGAGGCCATTTCCGCGCCTAATCTCCGTGCAGGAAGATGCCAGCGCTTTCCCAGATTCCCTGACGGGTCCCTGCTAATTCCATGCCAAAACTAGCAGTGGATTTCTTCCTTTTAATCTCCCCTAATGCCTTATTCGATTATTGTCACTGCTCTCCGACCAGGCACCGTCCCTCCAGGCTCTAATTCCACCACGGAAGCCCTCGGAGCAGGACGGCGGAGGGGCCTCTCCGGGACCTCGCGCGCGCCCAACCGAAGGGAGGGGAAGGGGGACCCCCTCGGGCCAGGGCCATCTGCCCGCCCTCCCTCCCTCTCTTTCTCCGGAGTTGGCACCGAGCGCGGCTCCCAGGGGGAAGGCGGGAGCCGAAGGGCCGGCGCGGCGCCCGAGGCAAAGTGAGGATGGGCTCGGCGGAGCAGCGCGGCTCCAGTTGACCGGCTCGGCGACCCCGGAGGATGGCGGGCCGAGCGCTGCGCGGGATGTGGCTCCTGCTCTGGTAGGCGAGGGGCGCGCGCGAGGGGCCGGGCACGGGGGCGCGAGGCCCGCGTGGGACAGGAAGCAACTTTCTTGGGAACTTGAGTCGGGGGCGGAGGGAGGGAGGGAGCGAAGGGGAGCCGCGCGCCCCCTCAGCCTGGCCTCGCTGAGCCTGCTCTCGCTGCCTTTGCCCCCGCAGCCTGGGCGAAGTCCTGCCGGCGGAGGAGTCCAGCGCCGAGGCGGGCGACCTCTACGCCGAGAACATCTCCCGCATCTTGGACAAGCTCTTGGACGGATACGACAACCGGCTCCGGCCCGGCTTCGGCGGCAGGGGCACCCCAGGTGCGGCTCTCTCGCCTCCTCGGCGTCCCGCTCAGACTTCGGGGAGCCCGGGGAGGGAAAGGGGGGGGGGGAGGCGCCGGCAACACCTGTGGCGCCTGGAGGGGGGAGGCGCCGAGGCGCAGCCGCACTCTCGCGCTCCCTCGACGGCGCCACCTCTCCCGAGTGGGCTTCCAAGGCGAGGGAAGGGGCGGGAAAGCCAACCCCGCGCCCCTCCAACAGCCCCACAACTCGCTCCCTTCCTCGGTTAAGCATTCAGCAAAGGAGGCCGGAGGGTGGAGTGATCGCCAGCCTCCATGCGCCACAGCTGAGCCTTTCCTCGAGTGGCGACCCCATTGGCCCCCCTCAACCCTCCTTCCCGCTCTCCCACACAGCCCTCGGGGAAAGGAGTGGGGCCAAGCCACGCTCGGAGGGAAGGCAACTTTGGGTGGCACTTTGGGCTGGGGGGGGGGGGGGTAAACCAATCATATTCTCATCGTCACCAATGTCTTGATAATAATATGGGTTGCTGTGAGTTTTCCCGGCTGTATGGCCATGCTCCAGAAGCATTCTCTCCTGACCTTCGCTCACAACTATGACAGGCATCCTCAGAGGTTGAGGGGTCGTCAGAAGAGAGTGCCTCTGGAACACGGCCATACCACTGTGGCCAAACTCACAGCAAACCAGTGATTCCGGCCATGAAAGCCTTCGACAACACAATAAGATTAGCGATGGATTTGGATACAGCAGTTCCTCCACTGAGTTCTCTCCCCCCACACGCCATGGTCCCTCTCCTGACCACACTCCCCCGGCCTTTTCCCCTTCCTTCCTTCCTTCTTCCTTCCTTCCTTCCTTCCTTCCTTCCTTCCTTCCTTCCTTCCTTCCTTCCTTCCTTCCCCTCAGGAGCCGTGACGGAAGTCAAGACCGACATCTACGTGACCAGTTTTGGCCCGGTGTCAGACGTGGAGATGGTAAGGCGGGGCCCCCACTCCCCTTTCTCTCCTTCCGGGGTGGGGGGTGAGCTTTGGGGGCCACACGGAGCCCGCCCCTCACTTCTCTGCCCTCCTCCCTTGTCTGGCTTGCAAGAGAGCCCGCCCTGGCCCCCTGCTCTCTCTCTCTCTCTCTCTCTCTGTCTGTCTCTGTCCTAGGCTTCATTACGGCGGCATCTGAGTGGACTGTCATTAGAGCAGATTACGCCCTTTAATCTCCTCCTCAATCTCCGCCATGCGGGGACCGGGCCGGGCCTGGCCTTTCAAGGGAAGCTGTTGGCTTGGCACAAAGGACAGGCCGCGCTAGGCCAGGGAAAGGGGCCTTTGCTTTCCCAAGAGGGGGCGGGGGGCGGGGTGCTTGAGCTCCCTAAATAAAGGCTGCCAAGGGCGTCCTCTCCTCCCGAAGGCGGGTTTGTTGCTTGCGAGAGGGACCCCCGCCCTGCCTAAGCAGCTTGCCGCCCTGCGCCCTGGGCTGGAGCGGGGAATTACAGGGCAGGGAGGGGAAGAGAGGGCCCCGCGAGCAGCCCACGTCAGGCCGAGCAGAGGGAAGGAGCAGATGGCCACAGGCGCTTAGTTGGGCAGCCGGGGATTGAGGCGCCAACACGCAGGAAAGGCAACACTTCAAGGTCCTCCTTTTCAGTGCTACTATTATAGGAGCGCTTCCATTCAGGAAGCTGGGCTCACTTTGAATTGGACCCCTCCCCTTCTCTTGTCCAATAAATTAATAATAATAATAATAATAATAATAATAATAATAACAACAACTTTGTTTTTATACCCCGCCTCCACCTTCCCAAAGGGACTCGGGGGGGGGGGGGTTATAAAGGGACAAGCCCAGGGAGCACAAAGTTAAAATCATAACACAATAAGAATTCAAAACAAAACCAAATAAAAGCATATCACAATAAAATATAACATCATAAAAACAGTACCGTACAGAATGATAAAAGTGCTGAGTTCAGATGGCTCTGGGTTTGTGCAAATTCCTAGACAGAGCAAAGGGAAAGTACAAAATTCAGAAGGCAGAGATGGGAGGAGGATGTTCATGGGCATTAAAATGTCAGGATTGTAGAGCAGAGGGCCATGCTAAAGTGCTGGAACTTAGGTAACATCGGTTATTTCAATGCTAGGATTGGATATACACTTCTCCTTGAAATGAATGAGACTTCAGTTGACAGCAACCCAAATTGAAATCATGTGGCTCACTTCTGAGTCCACTTGTATAGGTCCCCAGCTCCTACTATTGTGTTTATGTTCAAAGCTGAGGGAGGCAAAACAAAGCAGCATACTGGCTGCTGGTTTTCTTTGCCTGCTCCCGGAGGCTGATTTTGAGAAGTTCTTGGAAATTCACAGTAATGCTCTCAGAAAGGATTTAAAAGATGGAGCATCATCTCACATATGTGAAGTCTGGTTTTTTTCCATTTCTTTTAATATGAGGCCATAACATTTATGAACTATTTTGCAGCAAATGAGAACCACTGAAATAGCCAATTGCCTCACCCAGTGTATCAGGTTACCTTGTCAAATGGAATATTTAGTAGTGCACTTGCCCATGACAGTAAATTATGGTTGATCATTATACAAAGGAGTCATGAGTTTGGAGCCCTTCAAATTCCAGTTTCAATTAGCCTTACAATCCAGACAAGACAGAGGTCCTCCTAGTCATTTGCAAGGCCAAACAGGGTATAGGGTTACAGCCTGTGTTGGATGGCATTACACTCTCTCTGAAGACACAGGTTCGCAGCTTGGAAGTGATCCTAGATTCATTCCTGAGCCTGGAATCCCAGGTCTCGGCAGTGGTCAGGGGAGCTTTTGCACAATTAAAACTTGTGCATCAAGTCAGACTTGGGCATAGTAGTCCATGCTCTGGTTACATCCCAAATAGACTACTGCAACGCACTCTACATGGGGTTGCCTTTAAAGACTATTTAGAAGCTTCAAGTGGTCCAATGGATGGCAGTCAGACTCCTCATGGGAGCAGCGTACAGGGAGCATACAACTCCCCTGTTATGCCAGCTCCAGTGGCTGCCAGTTTGCTACCAAGCACAATTCAAAGGGCTGGCTTTAGCCTATAAAGCCCTAAATGGCTCCAACCCAGCTTACCTGTCTAAATGTATCTCCCTCTATGAACCATCATGGAGATTAAGATCTTCTGGGGAGACCCTGCTCTCAGTCCGGCCTCCTTCTCAGGTGCGTTTGGTGCGGATGAGAGACAGGGCCTTCTCAATGGTAGCCCCTCGACTGTGGAACTCCTCCCCTGTGATATTCGATCAGTTCGTAGCTTTCAGAAAGAGGGTTAAAACATGGCTTTAGGACCAAGCTTTTGGGGAACAACTGCAGTGTAATAAATGAACATAGAATCTGTGGAATGACATTTGGAATGGCCCTGCATTATGACTTTGGATTGTATGATTTTAATAATTGATGTAATTGTATTTAGATGTTTTAACTCTCTGGTTTTTAATGTAGATATTTACCAATTGTATATTATTTTAAGGCCTTGAATTGTTGACGATATGTGAGGCCGCTCTGAGTCCTGCTCGTAGTTGATACAAATATGGGATACAAATATGGTAAATAAATAAAACAAATACATCCAGACCTTTAAAAAGGAAGATTCACAGAAACACCCTGTAATAACCATTGCTTGAAACTGATTTGTTTCAATAAACCATGAAGGAGACCATTTAAAAATAATGATACAACTAACTTTATTACCTGAAACAAGTTGAGCTTTTTGGCAGAAAGGGTAACAATGTTGTAACCAGATTAGATTCCTGGAGAATGGCATTTTGAATATAATGTTTTGGTGGTGGCTATGGTGATGTGATATCTGAAAACTGTTTGATTTTTAAAGATAATGAGATTAAAAACAAGAAAGACAAATGACATGTCTAACAGGTTTCCTTTCTTCAGGGTTGCTCCAGTTGACCTCATGTTGGAGATGGGTCAGATGAAGCTAGAAGTTAGTATCTTGATGGGACAGTCAGACTTTTTAAATGGATGGCTTAGCAGTTGCCAACAGAATCAGGCATTGGGCTAGATCTGTCTTTCTTGTTTACATAAAGTAATCTTAGGAATCGTTTCCTCTTCTTATAGTCTCATGCTTCTTCCCATGATCTCATTTTCTCTTTTATTTGTTTCTTCATTTGAAATTAATCTTTAACAAATCACTAATTTTATTCCCACAAATTGCTTGCCTCTCACTCCAGGAATTCTTTTACACAACTCTTATTAAATCTAAACCTTTGTCAAAAACATGCTTTTCCTTGCCCAAAACCAATACTGCATATTTATTTAAGACACTAAGATGAGGATTATGAATTCACATAAAGATAAGAATTATGAATTCACATAAAGTTTTTATTTATGTTATTGCAAGGTATCCATTCAATTTGGGGTTATTTCTCTTAAATTCTTTAAGGAAGGATACTTTCTTTCTCTCATAGGCTGGCTCCTTGTTAGTAACTATTTAAAGATAATAGGATTAAAGTGATTAAGAAACAAATACGGTAGCTGACTTGTACTCATAAGCTCTCCTATGAAGACACCACTTATTGTTATTTTAATGTCAAGGTGGGCAGTCCTAGTATCACATCTGACCCTTGCCCTGATTTTATGTTGTAATTTTAGAAGTTCTCTGCAACTGATGAGTTCATATTTTTGACAAGAGAGATCTATCTCTTCCTGTACACCTCCCACCTGGAAAGTAGGAAGAAAGAGAGAAGTTGTAACTAAAATAAACAGCAAAGGGGAGTTTGGCATTGTAAACTTCCATCATCTGTTCTCCCGACAAGTAACTCCAATAGGAAAAAAATGTTTTCCTACTCATTTGGCTGATTTCTTTTGCTGTAGGAATATACAATGGATGTTTTCTTTCGCCAAACATGGGTTGACGAGAGGCTGAAATTTGGTGGTCCCACAGAAATTCTGAGATTGAACAATTTAATGGTCAGTAAAATATGGACGCCGGACACTTTCTTTAGAAATGGGAAGAAGTCAATAGCTCACAATATGACAACTCCTAATAAACTGTTCAGGATAATGCAAAATGGCACAATTCTCTATACAATGAGGTAAGAATAAACTCACTCTAGTTCTTTTCTGTCTTATATGGCCCTCTTACATGGATGAGGGGAGTGGTTTGTGTGGCAATTAAGCTAAGTTTTTCTTTTCCTCTTTTTCTAGACTTACGATTAATGCTGACTGCCCAATGCGTCTAGTGAACTTTCCTATGGATGGGCATGCTTGTCCCTTGAAATTTGGGAGCTGTAAGTCTGCACAAAGTTCAAATCTTTCAATATAAGCAAAACCTTAAGCAGTGAAATACAGGTCCACTTGATTTACCTTCATTTTTTTAAAGTAATGCCCCAAGACATTAATAGATGTTTGAAGTGAGCTTCTTTGGATGAAAGTGATAGAAGTAAAAAGAACAAAAATGGTTACCACTAACAAATCACATTCAGCATTTCATAAAGTTTGAATTAAATCCACAAGTCTAAAAACATATTCTATTGGGTCAGTTGACAAAGAGTTAATTAAATTGTTGACTACAACTCTGTGTTTTCCCCCAGCTTGAGATCAAATATTGGGGAGCAGTTCATTTTATGATAAGAGAGATTTGAGCTACTTTCTTCTCCTTTATTTGTTGGGTTTTCCCTTTTCCATATATTCCTCTAGCTAAGATTGTTTTATGCATAAATGGTTTGTGTGACTTTATAATAGCTTTTTCACAATTTAGCAAACATAGGGACCAAACAGGTATGATTTGTAAATTACATGTATATTATCATCATATTTCAGCTTCATTTAGTTGCTCAAATGCATAAAAGCAGTTATTTACTGTTATTTCTCCTACTCCACAATTATCTTGTACATTTTCTTGTACATTTTCCTTGGGGCTATATATAATTGTGAAGTAATCTTGAAAGCATTTTCTTTAAAATTAAGTGACAGTGAAAAATGAGAAGTTTTTTTTTAAAAAATCAAGCCATATACTTGAAATTCCAGCATTTAGATGTTTATTCTATTCAGGGATATAATTCAAAATTGTTTTCTATGTCTTTTAGAATGCAGTGCATTTTGGATAATATTGGGTTTTACAACCTAGTATTTCAATTTATGTTCATCTTTTTCTGTCTTAAACATTTTTGTTTTGGTGTAAAAGTAGAACAAAGTTTACTTCATTATCTGTGAGTATTCAATTATACTTATCAAAAACATGATTTTGCCAAAAGTTAAAATACTCAAAAGGCCACCAAATAGATAATTTATAACTGGGGCAGCAGAAGATACTCAGGGAGATAATTTCTTTCTATACAAACCACATGTTGCGAAGATTGCTTCAATAATGAAATTGTCATTATTGTATGTCAGTGCAGTTAATTGAAGAAATAATTCTTAACTTGTGGAAATAAAAATAGCTAAATAATATGGAAACATTAAGCCATGCATGGTATTAATTTAGGTAATAGTTCTCAGCTGTTAAGCTAAAGATAGTCTTGTTTAGATCTAGTATATCTGCCATGCACAGACATTGATTCCCACTTAAATTGCAGCCAGTTCTGCATATTCACATGGCACTGGCATTTATCTATTTATCTATTTATTTTCACTTGGTAAAATTCTTTTCAGGAACAATACATGTATTTCTTTATTTTATATCCCATATTTCTCTCAATAAATAAATAATAAATATTACACAAGGTGGCTTGCTTAAATCAGTAGACTGTAGAGATGGATTTGTGTAGATCAGTGTAGAGGAAAGAAATGACCACATTTTCTTTCTTTCTAGCCAAACTTGGGAATTTGCTGTCCTAGTGGGTGTTGACGCTGAGGCAGATATTTGCCAAGCCATTTTGCATGCTGAGTTATCTAATATGGTTTCCATTTAATCCTGAAATTGCTAGTTAGGGATGCAAGATGTCATGTTTCAAGACTCAAGTTTAAAATAACTGTCTCATGGAATTTGTGTTAGGATGTGAAAACAAGTTTATCTCAAGTCTTGCTCCAGGGAACCTTGCTCAAGTTTAATGGAACACAAAGGGTCCTGGTGGAACTGAATTCTCAATTGCACATCTTTATAGCTTTGTAAAAAGGTTACCTTTCCAGTCTCAGCATGTCTCCTTACCCAGTGATCTGGTAAGGGATGTGAGCACGCTAGTCTAGGTTGAAGTAAGTTGAGCTACTTACCAGTTACTTTTCACCAGATGAAGATTCCCATCATCGGAGTGGAAATCATCTATCGGACAGACGGCAAGTTATTTCACCTCAGCAGCCTGAAAGCCAAAACCAAGGGTACAGTAACATCTATTATAGAACTCCAGTATGCTGATGACAATGTCGTTTGTGTGCATTCAGAAGAAGACCTACAAGCCACTTTAAACACCTTCGCAGAAGCATATGAGCAGCTCGGCTTGTCATTAAACATCGATAAACCCAATGTGCTCTTCCAGCAGTCACCAGCCAACCTCTCTCCAATGCCAGAAATACAGCTTAATGGTGTAACATTAGAAAATGTTGACCATTTCCGCTACCTTGGCATCCACCTCTCCACAAAAGTTAACATTGACACTAAAATTCAACACTTCCTGAGCTCTGCGAGTGCAGCATTTTTCTGAATGAAGCAGAGAGTGTTTGAGGACTGGGACATCTGTAGGGATACCAAGGTGCTTGTTTATAAAGCTATTGTCCTCCCAACCCTGCTATACGCTTGCGAGATGTGAACAGTCTACAGACGTCACATGCAACTCCTGGAATGATTCCATCAGTGTTGCCTCTGAAAAATCCTGCAAATCTCTTGGGAAGACAAGTGGACAAATGTCAGGTGCTGGAAGAAGCAAAGACCACCAGCATTGAAGCGATGGTCCTCCGCCATCAACTCTGCTGGACCGGCCACGTTGTCTGGATGCCTAACCACCATCTCTCAAAGCAGTTGCTCTACTCCGAACTCAAGAATGAAAAACGGAATGTTGGAGGAGAGGAAAAGATATTTAAAGATGGGCTCAAAGCAAACCTTAAAAACTCTGGCATAGACACTGAGAACTTGGAAGCCCTGGCCCTTGAGCGCTGCAGCTGGAGGTCAGCTGTGACCAGCAGTGCTATAGAATTTGAAGAGGCATGAATGGAGGGCGAAAGAGAGAAATGTGCCAAGATGAAGGCGCGTCAAGCCAACCCCGACTGGGACAGCTTCCACCTGGAAACCAGTGCCCTCACTGCAGAAGAAGATGCAGATCATGAATAAGGCTCCACAGTCACCTACGGACCCACTGCCATTACACTGATCCTGGAAGACTATTCTACTCGGACAACAAGGGATCGCTTAAGTAAAAGTACTTTTCACCATTCCTTTGAGAAGAACGCATATGAACATTCTTCATTGTTGCATGCCACACGGGAGATTATCTGAAATGGGTCTTTAAAAACCCATTGTTTGATTTTTTTTTTGCAAGAACAGCAACATGTAGCACCTTACAATTGACAGTAGTATTCATGATTATTTGAAAATTAGTCTCGTTCAATTGAATATGTTCCAGGAAATTTGATATACGGTATGTTATATGTAGACTAAATTAGCTATGCTTTGTTTTGATTGACACGAATTGGACTTAAGTCATGACTAACTTGGTGGCTTTAAGTCCCACTGATACCATGTCTACAGGGGAGGTTTAAGCATATGGGAAAGTCATCCAGATTAAAGACCAATGATATGAAGCATGAGATGTACTGGGGTATTACTTCTGTTATTTTAATCTGGATATTACCCTTTGGAGACAAATGGTCATGAAATTGAAGATATACACTCTATGACAATTTGATGTAAGAGCTTAAATGTGCAGAAGGTAAGAGCAGTGGTTATTCGTAACAGCAGTGGCACGTGAATAATATTGCTATTGCCAGTGACAGCTGTATATTTTATAATCACAGTAGCACCTATTTCACATTTTAGGTTGAGCGTTCCTTATCTGGAAATATGAAATCCGAAGTCCTCCTAAATGCTGAATGAATCTTATTATTATGGTCACAGACCAGATGTGTAAAACATTAAAATCAGAGTTGTTGTTTTTTTAAAAACATTAACATTAAAATCAGAAAGTCAAAACATTAGAAACAGAAAGTCCAGGATATGGAACCATCTTAATCGGCTTCATATATGTCACTTAGAAAATTTGTGTATAAAATAGATACTAAATGAGTAGGTTAAAACATTATCCGCTAAAAACATCCACAATCTGTCTCCTTATTTTTACAGCTGCAGCACAAAACATAGCCACTCTAAAAGTGATCCATGAGCATTACTGCAGAGTAGTTTTGCAGGTATCCCCTATCATGAGTATGCCCATGCAGTTCAGAGGAAGTGGAAACTGCCAGGCATTTCCTGTTATATTGTCAGTTTTATAGGGATATTTCATCTGTTTTTATTACTCTTTAATGCTAAACTTTTTGCTGCCAGCTGCCTGCTTCCATTTTTGAAGGCACAGCAGTGGTTCTCCTGCTCATTCATTCACAAGATAGAACCTGGTGGTTAGCAGACACCCCAGAAAGAAGAGAGAGGGTGGAGAGACATGCAAGAATCTGTAAAATGGTGAGAGGCATGGATTCATGGCATTTCACAGATCTCGAGTGCCTCTCTAGCCTCACATCTTGTTTCCTACTTGTATTGTGTGTGAAACACAAGGCTGGAGAGAGACTGATGGTCTGTGAAATGGGAGGAATCTAAGCATTTCCAGCCCCTCATTGTATCCAGCCTTACACATTTAACATTTTTTTTCTGATTTTGGAGTACAAGAAGTACATAACTAAGGTACTTGTACTTCAAAATCAGAAAAAATAAGAAATACAAAGCACTTCTGGTCCCAGGCATTTTATCTAAGAGATACTCAACCGGGTACAGTAAGAATTTAACTTAAGAGCATCCCAACGTAAAAGGATTTTGAGTTAAGAGCCATTGCTCAGCCTGGGTTTCACTTTGATATTCGAGCAGTATTTTGAGTTATGGGCTAGCGCCAGAGGCACTAGCACTTTAGGCCTTCAAGGGAGCAGCCTCCCTGCCTTGTGATTCAAGCTCTTGTCTGCTTTGGGAGATTGCTGTCTGCTTTGCTCTTGTCTGCTTTATAGAACTTTGGGTTAGTTGATTTTGTGTGGTTTTTATTCCTGGTATGTTTGGCTTCATGAAGAGAGAGAGGGAGAGAGCAAGAAAGGGAGGGAGGCTGGAATGAGTACAGTATGAAGAAAATTATGCTTCTGCCCCTTCATTTTGTGCTTCCTTGACACAACTTTGTACTTTTACCATTTTATACATAATTTGTTATATATAAATGCATTTTCTTATTTTAAAAAAAGATGTAACAAAATGGGGGGAGGGTGAATAAGAGGTGGAACAGATTAATTCATTTCAATGGGAAAATTGCTTTGAAATAAAAGCAATTTGAGTTAAGAGCTTGATCACAAAATGAATTAAACTCTTAATTCAAGGCATCACTGTATAGTTATTTCCCATCATTGTCTGTGACTTTGAAATAGCATACAAACAGCATATGCAGTGTAAGTTCATGTTTCAGATTTGTGCTGGAGAAGAGTAAAATGTTGACATCATTAGTTTTCTCTTCAGCAAATGAAATGCAGGCATAGATGTAGATTCCAAAATAGCTCATCCTTCTTTAGTAAATGACAAATTGTCATTTTCACCTTTCTCATAACATGGAAAGATTTGTTTGCTTGTCATTGGAGCATTTCCCCCTCATTTTCAAGGCTACTACTATTGTACATTTCTGTAAAATGTCCAGAATCATAAAATGTGATTTGTTACCTTCTGCATTTGAAGGGGTTCTTCATGCTATTTTTATCAATCAGCTGGTCCTTAGATCATGCTCTCCCTCTCAGTGTATATTTAGCTTCACAAAGGGAAAAGCCATTTATATTGCTAGATATCAGCACTTTTAAAATATTATAGCTAGATTTTAGCTGTTATTTTTTCCATATGTGCTGATCCGAGGTGGGGAAGCATCTTGTTCTGGTGAAGTGCTGCCTCCACTAGGGTAGCTAGGGCTGATGGGCATTGGAGTTCAGTAAATTGTGGAGGACTGCAAAGTAAGCAAATCAGCAAGTATGTTTTTACTTTGAGAGTGTAAAGCTTGTTCTTCTGATTGGAAATATTCAGACAATAATGTCTTCAACAGTTTGCTCCAGATGCCAAAGTACTCCATGACCATTCAGAACCAGAGCAAATGGATCAGTGAAGGAGTTTGTGATAGGAACAGTACTCCATGTGGGCCAATAGCACATACTAGGATACAAATGTTTTGCATATTTTGACATTGAAATTTCACTGATGCAAGTTTTTCTTTTTTACTTTCTCCCTCAGATGCCTATCCTAAAAGCGAGATTATTTACACTTGGAAAAAAGGACCATTGTATTCAGTGGAAATCCCACAAGAATCTTCCAGTCTTCTCCAATATGATCTGATAGGGCAAACAGTCTCTAGTGAAACAATCAAGTCCAATACAGGTAAGCTCATGGCTCACGTGGAGAGGCAATGTTAGCAAGTTTGTTCACTTTCTGAGCATATTTTGTGAACTTGGCTCAATCTGTTGGGAAAAAAATCCCACTGACTTCCTCTCTCAGAGATTGATGTTCAGCATAGTGTTTCAGGACATCAATGGCACGTCCTGCTTTTCTGTCAGTGTTCCGATTACCAGCCAAGTGTAAAATAATAAGTTTGTTGCCAGGATCGCTCCTCCCAATGCCAGACAACACTTTCTTTCCTGTCACAGAGGAGCCAGCTTTAGGTTGAGTGAGATGTAGAGTCAAGAGAGGCAATTGTGGGCAACACAACTCCAGTTTTTGTCTCTACACTTCAAAGATAAGTGCCTAGAAAAACAGCTGAATAAAGGCACTTTCTTGCAAGATTATGTCTTTAGCAAGAGTACAGGAAAAACACAGCATGACACCTGAGCACAGGATTTAGTCTTCTGAACTTCCTATCTTACTTTGATAGCAATTCCTGATGAAATCAAAAGGCAGACATATGGTTGAATAGCATTTCAATTTTAGCAGGGCTTTAGTGCTGTTGTCCCTTTGTTATGACTTGGAAAGAATGAATTAAGCAAGTTGAGGGAAATGGCCAAAGGATGGAGTTTGCAAATTTATTGGGTTTATACAACCCAACTCATCTTAGAAATTAATTCAGTTTATTCAGCCTAATTCTGCTTGCTTATTCAAGTTTTCTTCAAATCCAGTTCTGCCTGTTTGCTTATTTTAAATGTTCCAGGTTAAAACATGGACAAAGGTAATGCTGATATACTTATTTCCTAACAGGTGAATACGTAATAATGACTGTTTATTTCCACTTACAAAGGAAGATGGGCTACTTCATGATACAGATATACACTCCCTGCATCATGACAGTCATCCTTTCTCAGGTGTCTTTCTGGATTAATAAGGAGTCTGTTCCAGCTAGAACCGTTTTTGGTATGAAGGTTACAATCTCAGTCCCAGACTAAAGTACTCCATTCCATTTCCACCATTTTTCATTGCTTGTATGTTTCCTTTAGGTGAATATTCACTTCAGGTGCTCTATTTCCATCTACAAAGGAAAATAGGCTATTATCTCATTCAGACATACATTCCATGCACTATGACTGTAATCCTGTCTCAAGTTGTGTTTTGGATCAACAAGGAATCCGTTCCAGCAAGAACTGTGGCTGGTATTCATGCTTTTTCCTCATGATCTTCATTCATTAATGTAACCATTCATGCATTGTATTATGTTTTATGTTGTACTGTGATAGAGGTTAGTATTGGGATTAGGGTTTTCCTTTTCTTTCTTTTTTGAAATAACAATAACAAAAGACTTCAGCCTTCAGGCTGAAAAGGGCAGGATAAAAATGCAGCAAATAAATAAATAAATAAATAAACATATTGATGTTTTACCTGGAACATATTCCATTGAATCAATGAGTTCTACTTCTAATTAAGATGGGGGTGGGGGGAGAAATGTGTTCAGTTTGTATTTTAATTTGAACAGCTCTAATTTTTAATGTTCTTACCTGAACCAAAATCATCTTCAAAATTTGTACTTCTCTGAATATTGCATTGGTGTTCTCCAGGTAAACATGTGTACCTGAATGCATTCATTAAGGAAAAGTGAGCGTATATTAGGGGAATATTATCCAGTGTACGTTGCAAAGTTGCTCGAAAAATATGTGTTTTAAATACAGAAATAAAATTTAGGAGAGTTGTGCACAAAAATGAGCATAAATTTTCATGCAGACTCAAAAGTTGCGAATTCTCAAAGTATGTAATGAGTTGAGTTTAGGATGGGAAAAATGAAAAGTGATGAGATTCATTTCTCTCTGCTCCTAAATAATCATAGGTTGGTTTTTCTTACTTAGGGTCACTTTAAAGCTGTAGATCTGTACAAACTCACCAGATACAAAGTGCCATTGTATCTTGAAGGATTTAGTTCTGACTAAAACATAAAAATGCCTGCCTCTACATATACTTCCTCAGAAATACCTACTGAAAAATAACAGGGTTTCCTTTTAATGATAAATGTAGTTTGGTGAGACACTAGCACTCTTTGGCAGAGAAGACTAAAAATCTTGTGAAATTGCAACTCCCATGATTCTATAGCATTGAGCCATGGCAGTTAAAGTGGTGTCGCAGTTCATTAATTCCACAGTATATATGTACCCCTAGTCTATAAATTGGTTAATTGGCTGACTTGGCACATAGCGTCAGTACAAAGGAAGTTTAATTCATCAAGCTTGGAAGGATGACATACATGGTGGCTTCATGTCTTCTTCTCTATGCTTCCTTTCTAGGGATTACAACTGTCCTTACCATGACTACACTGAGCATCAGCGCCCGCCACTCTTTGCCCAAGGTGTCTTATGCTACTGCCATGGATTGGTTCATTGCGGTGTGCTTTGCCTTTGTCTTCTCTGCACTTATCGAGTTTGCGGCTGTCAACTACTTTACCAATCTTCAGACTCAGAGAGCAATGCGGAAGGCAGCCAGGGCAGCCGCACTAGCAGCCGCCCTCTCAGCAGCTACTGTACCGGCAGAGGATGAGATAGTCTCGGTAATTGCTCACATTTCTGATAATAAGCATTGTATAGGAAGAGACAGCCAAAGTAGTAAATGCCAAACAATTGAACAATATTACAGTGATCTTAGTCTGGGAGGGCTTACATAACACAAAGCAGTTCGTCAGCTCAGGAATCAAATAAGTTGTTGTCCCGATGAAAGCATGGGGATTTATATAATTATTTGCTAAAAAGAGAGTCGGCGAAAATCTAGTTCTGCATCTGTTTTAGTACAATACTATTTATCAGCCTTCTGTGGAAGAGAAAACAGTAAGCTGCCTTAGACAGTTTTGCCGGCATATTCTTGAGCTGCACTATCAGTATCACAGTCATATAAGCAGCGCAGGATCCTGTTCAAGGGTATATACATGGGCCAGCCATTCTTGGATCAGTTTGTAACAGGCATTCTGTAAGTGGGTCATGGGGGGTAGGGAAAGGAAATTAGACTTTACATATACTTGGCATCCTTACATAAGCTTGGCTATGTTGGAGGAAGCCCAGAAAAAGGCATGAAACTTGTGAGATACTGAAGTGCTTTATTTCAAGAAAGAAAAAAAGATGCTATATTGATGATGTCAAGCACTCTGAACCCTCCTTGTAATAGAAATATGCTGAAAGAATGGCTTAGCAGCTGCAGTACTAAATAAGACCCCCTGTTCCACATTTTCCTCTCTACTAGGGATCTGAAAATCTGTCAATTATGTTCTCGTTGCATTTTTCAGAATCACTCCGACATTTGTACTCCATCCCACTTTCAGCTAAAGTTGCACTGCTTTTTCTTCTCGAATACCCGAACAATTATGTGCATTTTGTACACTCCCCTTCCCCTATTGTAAATGCATTCTGGTAAAAAAAGAACAGAAAGTTTTGGAGGAACTTAAAATTCTGGTTTGCATTATTAGATACTAGGGGTGTGCAATTTTTTGTTAGCTGTAATTCATATCAAATTCATTAAATTCACACTTACAATGTGATATTTGATGCATGGGCATGGCCTGTGCCAAAAACATAAGAATTGAAACTTACCCAACAATTTTTCATTTGAATTTTGTAAACCTTGTAAGCTCCCAAAGTCACTTTTATTTTCAGCACAAGCAAGCAAAGCAAAGCCAAAAAGGCTGCCTTTCCTCTTTAAATTAAGGACCTCTCACCATTAGCAGAGAAAGCAGAGTTCTCTGGGAAAGAGACTGAGAAAACACAGAATTCTGGGTATCTAGTTTGGGAAGGTGAGGAGCCCTATGCGAGAGAATTCAAAAGGCCCTACCCTAAACTATATTTTCTAGAATTCTGCTCAGCACCTGAAAGAGGAGTGATTTGTCCCACTGTAGTAGCAGTCAGCCAGAGTTCCAATAAATTGTTGAATCTGCAAAGAGGAGGACTGATTGTTACTTCTAGTAAGTACATCTCTGCGGTGGACTGGGAAGAAATCCCTAAATGGAAACTCTATTGGTTAATATGAGAGACATTCAATGAGATAGCTGTTGTAGCTTAAAAAAAAATATTTTTGTCAAAACTTTAAAAAAATTCCCTAAAATCAGTAAATGTATGAATATTTCTGAAAGTTGGGGGGATGATCCCCTGTTTTCTTGTGTCATTGTATAGGAAATTCAAGGTGATAGCTCTTGTGGTTTTTTAAAATGTTGTTTATAAAAACTTTGAAAATTTTCCAAAAATCTGTGGATAAGTGAAATATTCTGAAACTTCATGGTTTAACAGTGATAAATGTGTTCTACTATTGTAGCAAGTCATCCAAAGGGAGTTACATGTGAATAAGCAGCAATTATGAACTTCCTTGTGAGCAAACAATAAAACAGTAGTTTTATGATTTAGTGTTTTATGAAATTGTACACCATTCTGAGAAAGGAAACAGGGATATCTCCAATCTTCAACTGCAGCAATTCATGGTCACTCCAGGAAATAGACTGCTAGCAAGACAGATAAGTAGGACGTATTCCTCATAGTATTAAAATCAGCTTAAGGAATTCATTGCTACAAAATATTAAGGAGATGCCAATCTTTGAAGGATTCAATGGGATTTTGATAAATTATTAGGGGGAAGTCTAAAGTTGGGATGGAGAAACTCTGGCTCTGCTGGTTTCTTGGTTTATGACTTCCCTCAGGCACAACCAGCATGGCCAGTCATAACATAATGTTGGAGCTGGGGTCCAAGATCTCTGAAAAGCAAAAGATTCCCCACTCCTGGTCTAAGGGACCAAGAACCTGGAGTTGCGGAATTGTGATATGTCAACCTTGAAAATGCCATGTGTGCAGGTGTGCATGCAGCTGTTACTATAATCCTCTTCCACATTTGTAATGATTAGGGCATCTTCCTGATGAATGGTCTCTTCTGGATGGATTAACTTACAGTTCAGTTTAATCTTACATGGTATTAATGTTTGTCTCTTTTCCTAGGGCACACCTGCAAAATTACTGTATGCAAATGAATTACCCTTCCCCCCAATTTAAAATACTTTTTTATATTCATAGTTTGTCTTGATGACTCTGAATCCTAGAAGTTTTATGGAGGCAGCACCCCCCCCCCCCCAATGAACAGTCCGCTCTCTTTAAACAGTGGGACTTGAGGATGTTTGTTGGTCTTGATATTGTGTGCTAATTTTCTGATTGCTCTTCATACAGTTTTTAATCTTATTCAAGTTTGCCGAACAACTGTGTAAAAGGCCATGATAGGTAGCCAGACAGTAGCAGTAGGTTAAGTGAAGGATGAGGCATCCTTCTTTGTAGCAGTTCCTTCCTTTGCAAATTAGATTTCATCCCCCACCATGCCACAAAAGAAAACATCAACCTTGGTGCTGTTTAGGATGCACAGGCTTTGTCATTGTAAAGTCATTGTTAGTGGGTGGGAGCATTAAAAGAGAATTCTTTCCGAAAGAAATCCACATACAGATAATGGGATAGTGTTTGGGATATACTCCCTAGCAGAATCTCTTTTCTCTTTATTTATTCTTCTGCTCCTGCTGTTAGTTATGTGCCCAAATTACTCAGTGTATAGGCTGTTGAAGTGTAGGAGGTCAGCCATATGTTTGATGATCAAACTGTGTAGGTTTTACAAAACTTGATATTGTTGTTTAGTCATATCTGCCTGCTGTGGAAAGGAGATTTAGATTTTTTGCCTTCTGCTTTTGAAGGTTGCTGTCTCTTTTCTTTTCATTTTTAATGGATAAAATGTCTGTGGCTGCCTCAGGCAGGTGATACTGGATATTATGAAAGGGTAGCAAATTGTTGGTTATTTCATTTATTAATATTGTGTTTTATTACCATATTTTATTGCCTAACCAATGGTGACAACTTGGTAAATGGGGTGGAAGTGGCAGGGTCCTTTAGCAAGAATGATCACGTTTTTCTAGAATTTGTTATACAATGGAAAAGGGAAGTCAAGCATTATCAGACACACACTCTTAGACTTTAAGAAAACTGGCTTCAGGAAACAGGGAAAATCTGAGCATGATTCCCATGGTCAGGAATACCAAAAGAGAAAAGAGTTCATTATGAATGGGAGTTTCTGGAAAGCAAGATATTGGAGGCACAATTTCAAACAGTTCCCATGAGGACAAAAAATAGGAAGTGTCTAAAGAAACCAGATTGGATGTCTAAGAAATGTTCAGTTGAGCTGAGATTTAAAAAGAATGTTCAACAAATGGAAAAAGGAGAAATCACTAAAGAGGAATTCAAAGCAATAGCCAGCATATGTAGGAATAAAGTTGAAAAAGCCCAAACATAGAAAAAGCGCAGGCTTGCTAGAGATGTTAAAAAAATCAGAAGGGTTTTTATTATGTTTATTACAAAAGAACAAGTAAATGTAGGGCTGCTGTATATAGGTGATGGTGAAATGTTAACAGGGGACAGGGAATGGGCAGAACTACTCAATACTTTCTTTGCTTCAGTCTTCTTCCAAAAGGTTAACAGTGCTCAACTTGAGGATGAAGTTACAGAAGATGCAGTAGATGAAATGCAGTACAGAATAGGTAAAGAGGCCGTATAGGAATACCTGACTGGTCTAAATGAATTCAAGTCCCCAGGGCCAGATGAACTGCATCTAGCAGAAGATATTTCAAAACCACTAGCAATAATCTTTGAGAATTCTTGGAGAACAGGTGAAGTCCCAGCAGACTGGAGAAGGGCAATGTTGTCCATATCTTCAAAAAAGGAAAAAGGAGGATCCAAACAATTACCATCCAGTCTGCCTGACATCAGTACTTGGAAATATTTTGAAGTAGATCATTAAGGAGGCAGTCTGCAATTACTTAGTAAGTAATGCTGTGATCACTAAAAGTCAACATAGATTTCTCAAAAACATGTCATGCCAGACTAATCATTTATTTTATTTTTGATAGCATTATAAGCTTGATAGATGCAAGGAATGCTGTAGATGTAGCATATCTTGATTTGAGTAAGATTTTTGACAAGGTCTCCCATGATCTTCTTGCAAACAAAGTGGTAAAATGTGGCTAGGCAATGCTACTATTAAATGGATTTGTAATCGGTTGAGGGATCGAACTGAAAGGGTGTGCAGCAATGGTTCTTCTTCATCCAGGGAAGAAGTGACTAGTGGAGTGCTGTATGGTTCGGTCCTGGGCCCAGAGCAGTCTTTATTTTTTTTCATGTCAGGAGCTACTTGAGAAACTGCAAATCGTTATTAATGACTTGGATGAAGGTTTAGAGGGCATGCTTATCAAGTTTCTAGATGACACCAAATTGGGAGGGATAAACAATACTCCAGAAGACAGGATCAGAATTCAAAATGACCTTAACAGATTAGAGAGCTGGGACAAAACTAACAAAATTAATTTCAACAAGGAGAAATGTAAGATTCTGCACTTAGACAGAAAAATAAATAAATGCAGAAATACAAGATGGGTGATGCCTGGCTCAACACAGTCCATGTGAAAAAGATCTTAAAGTCTTAATGAACAACAAGTTGAACATGAGGTAACAATGTAATGCAGCCGCTAAAAAAGTCAATCTGATTCTAGGCTGC